CTTCTCATCCTTTCTTTAGTCTTGTTTTGTTTGGTTGGTTTTTTAAAATTTCTTTATTTATTTATTCATTCATGAGAGAGAGAGAGAGAGAGAGAGAGAGAGAGAGAGAGAGAGAGCTTTCATATAGTGCAGGGTGGCCTGGAACTCCTGATCTTCCTTCCTCTGCCTCCAGAGCACTGGGATGACTGGCATCCACCACCATGTTTAGCTCTAAACCTTTCTCTTCTCAGCTAGAGCAGGCTGCCAGAGAAACAGAAACTAGGCACAGTGCTGCATGCCTAAGGCACGCTAGAAGTGAAGGTGGTAGGATAGTGACTTCAAGGCTCACCTAGACTACAAGTAAGACCCTGTGTAGGGATGTAGCTCAGTGATAGAACACTTGACTATCATGCACAAGGTCCGAGATTTGATCCTCAGTACTATGAGTGACATCAAGAAAGTGAGGGAGAGAAAAGGAAGGGAAGGGAAGGGAAGGGAAGGGAAGGGAAGGGAAGGGAAGGGAAGGGAAGGGAAGGAAGGGAACATTAGGGCATAGAAATAGATCTGATTAGAGTCACATATTCCTTAATGATGAGGATATGTTCTGAGAAATGTGTCATTAGACAACTCCATAACTGTGCAAACATCACAAAGTATATTTACACAAACTAAGGTAGCTATGACATCACTAGTTAATACGATCTTATGGGACTATCATGTATGTGGTCCACCATTGACCAAGATGTGTGCCACACAACTATATTATCAGGATGAACTGTGTAACATTGCTGTTACATGACCACTTTTGGCTTACAGAAACAATTATCTTATATTAACTTATGATTCTACAAGACAATCAGAACATAGCTACTGTTTATTGATCAACTAGATGATGCTGCATACCCTGTAGTTTACTCTTCTCCAGAACCCATAGCGGTGGCTATTATCCTGATTTTTCAAATGAAGGACCCAAGACAGGAGAGGCTTAAATAACTTTCCAAGACCACACAGTTGTAGCAATGGGTAGAGTCTTAACTGGCTGGCTGGGCTGCATTTGCTCATCTGGACGCTGGTGTGCAAGGTTCAAGTCTCCCAGCTGCTGATAACTATGACCCCAGGTAGGTTTTTAAACATCTTAATAATCCATTTTATCATGGTAAACCCAAGTAAGAGTAAAAGGGTATACAGTAGCTTCATGGTTGAGAATGAGATAAAATCACCCCTGGAACATGCTGCTGTTACAACCTGGGACTAGGTGAGTGCTTACATGGCAGCTGTTGGCCTGATTCCTTTCTTCTCACTGAGGAAGGGGCTTCACTGAGGAAGAGGCTTCTGCTCCTTCTCATTGGTTCTTTTTTTTCTTTTTAATGACCCTTTTCTGTCATTTCTGACCTCTTTTTGGTGTTTGAGGCCAACCTGGGGGACAGTAAAATAGCAAGTGCCTGGGCCTCTAGCCTTGGGTGGAAGTTGACCGACTCAACGAGTGGGCACCCTCTTACCCCAAATTCCAGTCTTGAACTCTGGTGCAGGTCTGCTCAGGAAAAACCTGTGGTGCTGCATGTGACCACTCCCCAGGGATCCAGCACCCAGAAAAGCTCTTCTGAACTGGAAGCATCTTCTGAGAGCCAGGATGGGCTGTCACCTCCAAGAGTGCCTGCTGCTTTCTCCTTGCTCTTCCAAACCCACCCTTTCCTCAGCTATGCAGCTCCCTGAAAATCATGGTTACCTTCAAAAGGGCTAGCTGGCTTTCCCCTGACTACCCTGCATTTCTCTTTCCTGAGTTTCGCGTGCAACTGTGTTGGCCTGGCCCTGAACCTTCTTAGCCTTCCCGGAGGCGCGCGTGCCCCCTGGAGACTCCCCCTCTACATCTCCCAGCGCTCTCTAGTCCTAGGGGGCACTAGTCCTACCCCACCCTTCGGTCGGGGTCTGGACCTGTTCTCCTGATGGGAGCCCCTGCCCACCCTCAGGAGAGCGCCTGCTCCAAGCCAGACGACGACATTTTAGACATCCCGCTGGACGATCCCGGTGCCAACGCAGCTGCTGCCAAAATCCAGGCCAGTTTCCGGGGCCACATGGCAAGGAAGAAGATAAAGAGCGGAGAGTGCGGCCGGAAGGGCCCGGGCCCTGGGGGACCTGGGGGAGCTGGGGGTGCCCGGGGAGGGGCAGGCGGCGGCCCCAGCGGAGACTAGGCCAGGTGAGGCTGGCTGGGAGTGGAGAGGGCAGTGGAGGGAGTTAAGGGTGGAGACCTAGGAAGCCCGGTGGGTGGAACCAGGCTGAGGATGCTCACCTGTTTCTCCCTTCCTCTTTTCTGCCTCGTCTTGGACGGAAGAACCGAACATTTTAGAAGGTAACGAATACAACCGTCAAGCAGAGGGGTGTGTAGGGAAGGATGCTGGGAGAGATGGACGGTACCCCGGCCTTTCGCCCAGCCGGCCTTCACCCCCTCAAGGAGCATGCCTGTGTACCTGCAGGCTTTCCGGTCCCTTGGGATGCCTGAGGCTGTAGCAGGGGCACTTGGACCCAAACGGAGACGCAGTCGGCCATCCTCATTCAGCTGCTTAAGTGTGGCAAGGGCCATGAGCACAGGCTGGCTCACTCACCTCGCGTACCTGCCGCAGGGCTCAGTTCAGCTCAGTGACCCAGAGAGGGGCCTGGGTGATAATCCCTGCCCTGGGATCCTGGCCCCGGAGAGGGGAAAGGGAGGGGCAGAGGGCAGGTTCTTAGACTTTCTCTCGCTTCAGTTCCCAAGGAGAGATGGATGCCGCGTCCCCTTCGCAGTGACGAGACTTCCCTACGATGTTTGTGACCCCCGCCTTCCCACCAACCTGCCAGCTTCAGGAGCCCCCTGCGTCCCAGAGACTCCCTCTCCCAGTCTGGCTTCGTCGCGGAGTGGCCAAGTCCGTGCCCTTTCAGTTAGTTCTCCAGTCTAGCGTGGTCTCCTTCTTCCGCATCCACGCCCCAAACCCGGTGCTCCCGAATTTTCCTTTCGCTTCTCGCCCACCTCTCCCGCGCTCAGCATGCAGCTCTGCCTCTGCAGCCTCCGTGCCCTTCCCGGCGCGTACTGCGGAGGGCGCCCTATGCGTCGCCCAAGTACACTCACTTAAAAAAGAATAAGCAACCAACCAAGTCCTTTCGTTCTGTGCGCAGCGAAAGGGGGCGCCCCGCGTCTCTTGTGCAGTTTCCACCCCAGCCTAGCCTCAGCCCCCTAAATCTGAGGCTAAGAAAGTGGGGAAGGGGGTTTTTCATGGTGTCTGATGCCCCTTGCTCTGATAGGAAGGGAGGTCACTATCCCACACCTGCCTGTCATTCCCTTTTCCTTCTCCCCAGCACACCCTGAGAGCTGCCTCTCCGGCTCTCCAACTGTTTATGCAAATACCACCGAGCGCCTGGAGGCTCGGTAGGAGGAGTCTTCCACGGCCCTGCCCCCGCTGGCTCCGGCCCCGCTGGGCTCTTGGGGCTGTGGCCGAATCTCCGTGTGCATGTGACCGTGCTGGGTTGGAATGTGAACAATAAAGAGAAATGTCCAAGTGTTCAGAGGGTACAGGGTGGTGGGTGGGAGGGATGGGGAGGTGAGGCGGCAGGCGGAGGGAGGCAGAGTTCGCCTAAGGCCACTACCAGGCCCTAGAACTTTTGATCAAACCAAAACCAAAGGCAAGGGCGGGTGAGGTGCAAGTGGACCTAGGTGAAACCTTTGACCCAACAGAACTTCCTGCTTACAGCATCATCTCTGGGATTTCAAGACCCTTCCTTCCCTACTGGTAGTACTCTTTGGGCCATCTAAACGAGTTCACCACACCAGCAGGAAAAAAAAAAAAAAAAGGAGGAAGACAACATGGTATTCAAGAGCTTTAATTTTTGTCATTCCCTTCATCATTCTCAGAGATCAGAAGTCAGACAACCATAGAGAGCTTGGACTTGGTGGTCGCCATAGTGCTGGCAGGTGAAGACCTCTCAGGGAGCCCTTTGCTATAACCTGCCCTCCTAGAGGCTTGCTCAAAAATCCCAGGAGCGGTGGCATCCTCCCTGAAGGAAACAAACAAATGTTTACAGAGGCTAGAAGCATCCTTCAGACAACAATCATCCTCTAACTCATGGACTTAAGTTTTACTATACATGAGAATTATCTGTGGGACTTTAATTAAAATGACTCCAGGCCCTATCCCCCGCAACCCCACGCACATACTTTGCTCAAGGAAGCATAGAGAGTGGCCTGAACCTGAAAATTCCTGGTGGGTCTGTCCAGGTCATCTGAAGGTCACACTTTAAGAAATGTACTGGGGGCAGGGGAAATGGCTCAGTGAGTAAAGTGCTTGCCTTGTAAGCAGGAGGACTTTAGAGTTGGATCCCTAGAACCCATGTAAAAAAGTCAGGCACATTCTTGTAATCCCAGGGCTTGGGGAATGGAGACAGGAGGATTTCTGGGGCTTGCTGGCCAGTCAGTCTATCTTATTTAGCAAGTTCCAGACCTTTGAGAGACAATTCCACAAAGTTGTTCTCTGACCTCCTCTTGAGTGTCACAGCATGCATGTCCCTTCACACAACATGAACACATACAATGTTAATAAGTTAAATAAAAATAAGGTGGATGGGGGCTGGAGAAATGGCTCAGTGGTTAAGAGTGTTTGCTGCTCTTGCAGAGGACCCAGGTTTGGTTCCCAACACCCCACGGCAGCTAACAACCATCTATAACTCCAGTTCCAGGGGTCTTGATGCCCTCTTCTGGCTTCTTTGCACAATGCATGCTCATGGTGCACTTAAATATATATATATATATGCAAAACACATACACATAAAATACAAAACAATTTTTTTAAAATAAAGTGGATGACATTCCTGGAAAGATACCCAAGGTTGTCCTCTGGCCTCCACACTTGCACCCATATGCACCTGCACACACACAAACACATACACATGTACTAAAAACAAAACACATTTTCTGAGTGTGAAGATCAAGAGAGCCGTGCAATTCATTCCCAGCTTGTGAACCAACTCCTCCACCCTGTGCATCTGGCCGCCAAATGCCAGACTAAGTAGCACTCCCTCCCCCTAGGCACCTTTAATGGCATCAGCCTGAGAGCTAAAGCTCTCATTCTTCTCTGCATTCACACCCAGCCCTCCTGCTCACCGAAGGTCACTACCCCTGTATGTCTCCTTGGGTTCCTTCTTCCTCTCTTTCTGAAATCTGATCAGGCAGAATGCAGCAACTGACAGCAGCAGCACACCCAGAAGCACCCCAATCAGAGTCCCAGCCACTCGGCCTTCAGAGGAGTCTAAGAAGAAAAGACCCTCAGGGCTACAGAAGTAGCTACCCACTGTCCAACAGTTTCATGTAGCATCCCTAAGCCCAGCCTTCCAATCAGACATCTACCCACCATCCCCTACCGGTCACAGAGAGGGTCAGCTCGCAGGAGGCACTGCCCATCTGGTTGCTGGCAACACAGCGGTAGGTGCCAGAGGAGGTCAGGGAGAGATTGGTGAGAATGAGCTGACCAGACACTTCATCTAGAGAGAGAAGAGGAAGTGTGCTACCACTCATTTGACTCATGGACTCACCGTGAGCCAACCCTACTATAAGAGCTCTATTCATTTCATACTTAAAACAGCCTGGCAGAAAGGACCCAGCCTCATTTGATTGGAGGGGATACTGGCCAGAGAAAGGGAGTAATTTCTCTGAGAAGACCCAGAAAGGAATTCTAAAGCCACTGCAACTTCTGTCTCCCCCCGCCCCCAGAGCTGCCTTCTTGGAGGTAGGGACTGAATATACAGGAAGGGAATGATGGAACTGGGATGGGGTGCTTACTGGATGACATCAGATCCTGGATGGGGACAAAAGTTTAGGTCACTAAACCTACATTTTCTGGGGTAGCTCTAAGCTGGCCCAAGTGCTTTTCTAAACTCTACTTTTGCCTAGGAAGGAAAAAGAACACATCAGGAAGTGATCTAAGGGAAGAGGTCTGCATGGATAAAGGGGTTTACTGGGGTGGGGGTACAGAGAGAGGAGAGAGAGAGAGAGAGAGAGAATATCTGGAGCCAACAAGAAGCCAAGATGCTATAGTTTCTAGATATGACTCCAGGGAAATCCACCAAATGTTTAAGCCAGTCCATGGTATGCTCTAGTTGCCTCTCTGCAAAGTTGGGAAGTGATTCATAACCCTTAGGAATTCTTTAAAATGTAGACAAGGAGGAATCAAAAGATTGCCCCCTGCCTTCTGCACTCTTCCAAGCTATCAGGAGGACATTTAGCTTGAGAAATTTCCCAAGAACCCAACCACAGGCTGTACAGGAAGACAAATAGGAAGGGGACAATACAAGGAAGAAGCAGGGAAGGCAGAGCAGTCAGTCGCAGGCCTCATCAGGGAACTAGTGATGTCGGGTGTGGCCTTTAGAGAGGAGATCTTAAGGCTCCGGTCCCTCTTCTGATGCCCCACACCCCTACCTTGAACCATGCTGCCAGGAGGAGGTGTAGGAAAAGATCCAAGGTGTACCCAGTTGTACACTGGTTTGGGAGCACCCTCAGAAGAGCTGCATCTTAGTGCAGCAGAGCCTCCCACAGAGGTCGACCCACTCTGGCTGCATAAGGGGTTACTGGGGGCCACTGGAAAAAAACACAGAAGTACCTCAGCAGTCCTCCAAACCAAGGCCTATTAAGTGCTACAATTCTGCCAAATGGTGGTCCTCTTCTGTCCACACCACTGCATCCCCAAGAAGTGATTTCTACTGTTGGGAATTCTGAATATTAGAAAAGTCCCCCTTATACTGAGCCAAAAATCTATGTTACTATAATATTCACTCATTGGCTCCAGTTCTTGCCATCTGGGCCCATAGGAGAAATTAAAGTCTCTCCTTCAGATATTTGAACACAGCAGTTATATACCACATCTTAGGTCATCTCTTTTCCATCTAAACATCTTTTCCGCTTTCAAAGTTTCTTGTTGCTCACCTTTAAATGGGCTCTGACTTATCTTGTGGTAAGCTCTGAACACAATGTAGTGTTCAATTATAGGGGTTTTGTTCCTTTAATGGCCACTTCCTTTCTCTACAGCTGGCATTGGGAGGGACAGAATCCAAATCTGAGATACCAGCGGTGATGATGAAGCTAGTGGGGTATGACTCAGATCCCCATATATGGGAATGGCGCTTTCTCTCCCTCCCTCCCTCTCTCCCTCCCTCCTTCCCTCCCTCCCTCTTTGATACTAAGCCCTAAGGGATATACTGTGGGTGGTGGAGTTGGAATATGACCATCTAGATTAGAAGTCTTGGGATGTACTTTTTCTTGAGGCCCCCAGTGCAGCTATGTGCTTGAGCTGAAAATTGGGACTTGGGGAGCTTTAGAAGGGCCAGGACACACTTACAGGCTAGGAGGGTAGCTAGTGTGTCTCCAGCCTTCCTTACCCAGTACAGTGAGGTTGATTAACCCCATCCCACTGGTGTAGAAATCTGGTGGGTTGTTAACTTGGCAGAGGTAGGTTCCAGTATCTGAGGGATGGAGATCAGCCAGCTTCAGGGTGGCCACCCCCCCTGTGGGGGGGTTGTGGAGAAGGCTGGCCCGCTCAGCCTTAGAACCAGTGGGATACAGATGGCCATTGGTGAAGTACAGGATCTGAGAAGAGGCAGAAGACACACATGTCCCTTTTTCTGCCCAGCAGCAGCAATTCTACAGTGTTTCAACATGGAGGTTGGTCTGAGTCCCTTCTCTGCCAGTTAGGGAAGCTGACATTCCTCTGTGGCTTAGACAGGGAAGGGGCAGAACAGTACACTATCAACCACATCACCCCAGGTTCAGTGGGTTTAGCAACTGAAACTGGGGCTGCATTAGCATTGGGGTGCTGGATACAGGAGCTGTGACTGAAGGAGAATGCAGGGCTACACAGGCCACAGCCCTGAGATACAGGAAAAGCCCAGGAGCACCCCGTTCCCTCCTCAAACCTTCGACCTGGGTGGATCCTCTGTCTTGTCCCTGGCCTACCCCAGCAGGCACAGTTGCCCTCAGCTCACCGGCAGGGATGTAGAGATGGGCTTCCCAGGCTGCACAAAGCTCCACTCCAGGGCGAAGTTGTCTCCCACCGACGTGCTGTAGGTGCAGCTCAGTTCGGCTGTCCCTCCCAGAGGCCTGCTCAGCGGCTCCGTGGGCACAGTCACCTCCACAGCTAGCCCTGGGACTAAGAACGGAAGGAGGCAGGGACCCCAATCCCGCTGATCTGAGCACCCCCAACCCTGCCGCAGCACTACCCCTCCCACAAGTCAATTCCTTCTCTCCCTCAAAGCCTGAGGTTTCCGGGAGGAGGAGCCCATGGCCTAGCCCTATTTTTCTGGGTAAAAGATCCCAGACCGGGTCAGGTATGAGGATGTGTTGGCAGGAAAAGGAAAACAACAGTCCTGCGGTGGCAAATGCTCAGGTGGCCGAACTCATCGGTGGGCTAGTTCGCCTCCTTGCTCCACCTTCTGGGCCTTCGATGCCCCCATCCCAGCCTGGCACAGTGGCTCCTGGTCCCGGGGCCTGAACAGGCCCTGGCCCTGCTCTAGCGCTGGTCCCACCCTCCCGCCGCCGTTCTCCTCACCACTTAGGTTTAGGAAGCCCAGCAGGGCCCCGCAGAAGAAAGGCCCAGCCAGGACCCGGGCCATTCCCAAGACTTGTCTCCTGGCCCTGCTCTCTGTTGGTCTGTCCTAAGATCTGAATCTAGGGAAGGGAGCACCCAAAGGGCAGCCGCCTGAGCTGGGCAGGAGCGAGACTGACTATCTCAGAGCAAACACAGGGAGAGGCGGGCACCCTCAGGTAAAGAAATGCTCCTCCCTCCTCCAGGCTTCATTCTGGAATTGCTTCTTCCTCTTCCTCCCAATTTCTGAAAGTATCAGGCCTTGGGGAAGGGGCTGAACTGGGGTGGGCACCCTAAGAACAAAGGTTCAGATTTGGAGTTCTGCAAGGAAGTGTCATTGGTAGAAGACTTCACCTTGGGGCTTCAGGCAGTGAGCATGCGGGCCAGGAGACAGCCCTTTCCTGGACCTTTCAGAGATTCTTGTGACTTCCCAGGTTCTCTTTTTACCGCTACCTGGGGTAAGAGTTTCTATGTAAACCACACCTGCTTCTTCATTCCCAGGGCCACTGGGGTCAGATAAACTGAGATCTGAAGGCGACACCTTGGTAAGCAAGGGCAGAATGATATTGGGACATAAACCTGTGCCATATCCTATACCCACCACTCCCTCAGTGGACAAGGAGCAATAGTACCCAAAGGGGTGGAAGGCACGTTTGTTAAACATTCAGTGGCATGGGAGAAGGAACAAGATTCCTCTCTCCTGCCCAGGAGAGGAAGATGCAACAGAATGTGTATGGGGGGGGCATCAGAGCTCCAACAGAAAGTGCCCCAGTCGTCTTCTGGGTGATGCTGACTGGGTTAGGAACTCCTCAGCTTCAGGCTCTTGGTACCGCCCCTTTCCATATGACAGTGAACAACCCTTCCAAAGGCTCTAGAAGGACTGTGCTAAGCCAGTAAGCTCTGAGGTCATGTGAAGCCTCCCTCCTCACTATACAACCTGGGTAGGTAGAATCCACTTTGCATCCTCCTGAAACTCAACTTGAGAAGTCCTAGTTGGCAAAAGTGATTTGGTTCCTGGTCCATGCAAATACAGTGTATCTTTATTGAAATTTTCAAAATAAAAATAAGAACACTGATTTCAAGTTAGTTTTTAAGATGTCTTCCCTGTCCCCTGTTCCAACAAAACCCAACCAAGCCAGCAGGACAGGTTATATTAATACAGGGAACTGGAGTGGAAGTAAAGGATAGCTTTGGGTAAAGGTGGGGTACAGCTCAGGGGACCAGGGGCCTCACTGAGTGGCAGGCTCCTCCAGAGCCTTTGGAGGGTTCAGTCTCAGCAGCATTCAGCTGGCTTTTTAGGGAAAAGCAGGGAATAGGTAGAGGGGTGTCGGGTGTTGTGCCCATCCCCCTGACCCCAATACCAGATCCATTTCCTTTTCTACTTTAACATGGACATTTGGTCTTACTGAGACTTAGTTTTCCAACAGTAAAGGGAGGTGGGGGCAGAAGCCTGGAGGTCTTGGAAGGTTGCTACCTTCCCAAGACTCAGTCCTCTGTGCCATAGGTGACCCTTACAGGGAGGAGAGATACCAGATGGTTTAGCCAATGACTGCCTGGGCCATCACACGAGAGACCCAACCTGAGTCTGGGCAGGTACCATCACCGGCACAGCACCCATTCGGGTCAGAGCAGAGGAAGAAACTCCACCAGGGTTCAGGGATACTGGCTGAGGGTGGGGCGCATCTGTCCTGGGCATTCTTGGTGAGGACAGGGCCTGGCTAGAGAGACTAGGTGTGGGAGTAAATGCACCCGGCCTAGGAGGAGGAGCCTGGGATGATCGAAGGGCTCGTGCTGAGGTGACAGAAGAAAGTGTTCCATTCTTGGAGATTGTGTCTGAGCCCTTGGTCCAGGGCAAGGTCCGGGGAGCAATGGCATCCTCCCTGGTCATCAAATAAATAATGCATCAGAAGAAGGAGGAGGGTCCTACATGTTTATCTTACTGCCCCTCCACACCCACACTTCAACCCCCCCCCTAAAATCTTGCGTAGGAATGATGCAACTACTGCCCACTTTTCTATAAAATGGAAGAATCCTGAACTCCCAGACTCTGTGAGAGAAGTCAGTAGAACCCCCACCTCCACAGAGCCCAGAGGCACCTACTTGATATCATTGGCCAGTTCCTCCAGGGCCTTGCTCCGGCGTTGGTATAAAAGGACCAGTCCAGCCAGCAACACCAAGCCAACCACAGTGCCCACAATTGCTCCAGCAACCACTGCAGCATTAGATTCTGAAAAAGCCTTGTTGTCAGAGAGGGACATGGAACTGTTACTTATCCTCTCCAGTTCCACTACTCTACTGCTACCACAAGGTTCTCTTTTTCTCTGTAGAAAGCAGGTGGGGAGCCGTCAAGTAGAAAATGACACTGACCACCTGTTCACACCTTTGACCAGAGCCAATTCCCTTTCATACTACAATGAAGAATCTCAGCAGATAGGCATCCTCCCTTCCTGCAAAGCCATCCTTACCACTGACCACACTTCTTCACCACACTTACCCCTCACTGACCTGTGATCACTTCCAGGGTCATGTTGCACTGGGCAACGCCCACTTTATTATGGGCCTTGCAGACATAGACTCCAGACATGGACTTTGAAAGGTTGGTAAGCTTTAAGGTTCCATGGATGGCATCTGTGGACACAATTTAGCTATTAGTCCAAGAACTTTCCCATTAAAAAAAAAAAATCTGCCTTGCTTCTGGAAGGTCTTCTGTGATTCTCTGAGAGTCACTGCTTATCTGTAGCCTGATGGGGAGGAAGAGTGTGACAGCTAATACCATGGGCCCTGCAGACAGGGCTAGATTGATGCCTGCTCCATTCTGACTCCTCAGTGTCCCCAGATGATATCTGAAGGGAAGTGATAACACTGAAAAAACAAAACCAAAACATCACTCTTACATTTGTTTCTGAAAGGGGAAGTGAGGGAACAGAAAGAACATTAGACTAGAAAAGCTGGGAGCCTGCACACCCTATGTGGTCTCCACTTCTTTATCTGTAAAATGGGGGAAATCACCTGCCTGGTGGGATTGGAAAGATTATACAGACTAATCTTTACGACCATTTGGCTGCTTATGGAGCCTAATCTAAGTTCTTTGCATGTACTAACCTACCAAAGTTTCACAACAAACTCATGCAGTAAGCACTATTTTTAAGTCTTTTATTATTATAAAATTGCTCACAAGAAGAGCTGGAGAGATAGCTCAGTCAGTAAAGCTCTGGTCAGCCAGCTTAGCTGAAATCAGTTGAGCCATAGATTCCAATGAGAAACCATGTCTCAAAAAATAAGATGAGTCTCCCAAGGAAAGACATCTGAGGTTGACCTCTGGCCTCCACATGTATGGGCACGCACACATACATGAATAAGCACACACACTCAAATTATATTTGTGGAAAAAAGAGTTCAAATGAGGCTGGAAGTTTAGTTCAGTAGTAAAATGGACGCTTAGCACGTACAAGACCCTGGGTTCCATCCCCAGCACCAAACAAATAACAAGACCAAATGAAAAGTAGAAAAATGGGAAGCTGGAGAAATAGCTCAGTGGTTAAGAGCACTGGCTGCTCTTGCAGAGGATCTGGGTTTGACTCCCAGCACCCACATGGTGGCTAACAACCATCCATAACTCTAGTTCCAGGAGAATTCGATGCCTTCTTCTGACCTCCTCAGACATTGCACAACACAGTGCTTACATACATGCAGACAATACACTCACCCACATAAATGTAATAAATAAAATACTTAAAAAAAAGAAAAGCAGAGCCGGGTGTGGTGGTGACCCTTTTAATCCCCCACACTTGGGAGATAAACACAGGTGGATCTCTGTGAGATCAAGTTTAGCCTGGTCTCCATAACAAGTTCCAGGCCATCTAGGAAACCCTGTTTCAAAACAGACAAAAAGTAGAAAAAGGGAAAAATTAAAATCTTTATAGCCATCACCTCTATTCAATAGTTATTAACACTTGGCCATCTTTATACTATTTCCTCTTCTTCCCCCACTGACATTTTGAAGTAATATTTCAGGGCCAGTGAGATGGCACAGTGGGTAAAAACACTTGCCACACAATCCTGGCAACATGAGTTTGATACCTGGAACCCTCATAAAAGTGGGAGAGAAGCTGGGCGTGGTGGTGCATGCCTTTAATCCCAGCACTCAGGAGGCAGAGGCAGGTGGGTCTCTGTGAGTTCAAGGCCAGCCTGGTTTACATAGTGAGTTCCAGGACAGCTGGGGCTACAGGAAGACCCTGTCTCAAAAACACACACAAAAAAATCTTCTAAAGTTATCTAATATTTCATGTTTAAATATTCTAATTGCTGAGCATAGTGCTATAATCCCAACACTCAGAAGGCTAAGGCAGGAAAGGAAGATCCTTATTTTGAGGCTAGCCTGGGCTATATAGTAAGACTTTGTCTCTAAAGAAAGCAAAAAAAAAAAAAAGGATTTAAGGTCTGCTTTACAAGATGGAGTCCATACCTGACACTGATATCAGGCTTATGAACCTGTGGCTAGAGATGTCACAGGACATAGGGGAGTGCCTACTATTATTATTTTGCTAAATAGACAATATTAAATGAACTCCTAGTGATTTATTGTTATACTTACAGATTAATGTAGCTCTTAACTCTCACCAGAGAAGCTTCTTCATGCAACAGATGATGATTAGCACAGAGACCCACAGCTGGCTAATGTGTGGAGTGCTTAGCCCTGAATAAGACACATATCAAACCTCTCTCTCCCAAGGCTCAAGGTTCATTGTGGAAGAAGAGGAAGAAAGATGTAAGAGCCAGAGGAGGTGGATGACCATAAGGAAACACAGTTTTCTAGATGGCTGAGCAGCTGCCTATATGAACCCACAGCAACAGAGAAATCATGCACAAGTCCCACATAAACTCAAGCCAGACAAAATCCCAGCATGGAGGTGAGGAGGTGCGCAGGAGGCCCCAGCCCTAGCTGAGGAACTATTGGCAACTGGTGACTGCTGGGAGAGAGACAGTTTTCCTTAAGGGTATAATACTGGCTATACTGACCAGTCTCTGGTGCATGTACTCACACCAAAGGGTATTGAAGATACAGTCTTGACTTGATAGGCATATATATAGATACATATATTTCTCAGAAATCAAGCAGGGAGTATAGGGGGTGCCAATGGGGAAAAATGTTAGAAATGTGACCCAATGGTAGAGTGCTTCTCTAACATGCACAAAGTCTTAAGTTCAATCCCCAGCATCACACACACAAAATTCTCCTAAAAGGTTTTCTTATAGATAATATGTATGAACCAGGGCTACTGACACCTCATTTTACAAATAAAGCATGGGAGCAGAGTCACAAATGTGTTGAGTGACAGAACTGGAACCTGAAGTTCCAGCAGTTTAGATCAGACCTCAGTAACAGTACACTGTGTGTGGATGCACGAACATAGAGCCTTCACCTTATGACATCTTTCTGGTTCTCTCCACATCTTCCTCATCCTCTTCTCCAGGCCCTCCATATATTGCCTCCCCTTGTCACCCCAGTCTGTGAGGCACTCCCCTCATCCTTTCCCTTCCCCAGCCGCCTTCTCAGTGATCTCCAGAAATTCCCTTACCTAACGTTGGTGCAAAGAAAATCTGGGGGGATGAGCCCATCTTCTCCCACTGGTACTGTGCAGTAGGCTTGTTCCTTGGGGATTTGCAGTTCAGGGTCACATTGGACCCCACACGGGGTATACCCTGGAGACTGCAGGATGGAAGGGCTGGAGGAACTGGAGGAGGGAAGACAGGTTAAAAATCTACACCCAAGGCACCCACATGATCCCCTCCCCCCAATATTGTTTTATCATTCCATGTCTTACCCCCCCCAGGTCTGACATTCAGCCCCCTGGGAGTGAGACCAGCCTGACCTCCCTTGTTGGGATGGGGAGGGACCCAGAGGAGGGACCTGGGAGTGTATTCTTCTTACTCACTCAGCACTTTGAGTTCTATGCTTTTGCTGCTGTGGCCCATACTTGTGGCACTTGTGCCTAAACTGTCTTGCACATTGACAGAACAGCGGTAGGTTCCAGCGTCTTTTTCATGGACGGCCTCCAGTCTCAGGGACACATTCCTTGTGGGCATGGAGTGGACAAGAGATACTCCAGGTTTGCTTGACACAGCACCATTGATATAGGCCAACACCTGGTAGGGACAGCAACCTGTTACTATTCTGTGATGCATGTGCCCACCAGGCTCAGCCTGTCCCCCTCCTCCAAAATGGACCTCTTCACAAGCATCTCACTTGTACCCATCTTTCTTCCCTAAACCAGCTCTCATTTTCCTATCTCCTCACTCAGTGTCTCACAATACCAGGATCTTCTTTACCAGTCACTCTCATTTCCCCTGTGAACTATCTCTTCAACTCCTTTGTGGGATGTGTAGGGGATTATCATAGTAGGAGAAGAAGAATAATGTAAGAGTGCGTATGAAAGAAACTTAGATTGCAGGTTGGGACTTGGTAAGACTTGAAAGTTATACAATTAGAAGCACATCTTAAAAAAAAAAAAGATTTTTCTTAATTTAAAAAGGCAGGGCTAGGA